ACGTCAACGGTGACAAGCAAAGCAAGCTCATGGAAATCAGGCTTGACACATCGTTCCAGTTTGACAGTGTCAACCATGACAGTGCACTGATGCTCTTCTTCAATAAGATCATCGAAGGTGAGCTCATGAATCCCCATTTGGATGAGTTGGAAATGAAAACTCTTTGCATGAGGAAGGGCTTGTTGAATGGCAAACTGCACAGAGGCTCGTTTGGGGATCCATACAAACTCAGCCCACAATTTCTGCTCATGAAGAATCTGGCATGGAATCATACCTGCAAGCTGAACAAGTCGATTTGTTTCCCAATCTGTCAAGAATTGCGGTGGCAAGAAATGAGGGTCCATTTCATGTAAGGCTCCACAACTTGGTGTCACAGTTCCAAATCGTCCTTGAAACACACATTGGTCAAGATCTTGCGTTCTGAGAACTGGGAGCATCAACGAAAGTTCGTCTGGGTCAACTTGGAGTGGCTCGAATGGGATGGTAGGCGAAATCTCCCAAACTTTACACCTCTTTACCACATCATCTTCTGGTGAGTCGTCACCATCATCCATGCGCCTCTTCCTCTGCGCAGCCCCTGGGAAAGCAAGGCAGGCAAAAGCACCATCCTGAATGACAACATTATCCCCGAATCGACCAGTTCTTTGGAAAACTAGCTCAACAATGTCGGAGATGGTGCAAATCCGTGTTTGGAATGGTGAATCCTGGCCCAACAGCAAGTGTGTCCTCCAAACCTGGATACATGCGTGGGCGAACGAAATGGCATTGCCAACCATCCTATGAGCAACGTTGCAACAGCTGGGCAAAATGATGTCTGATCCAAAGCCTAAGGCAAAGGCAGCCTCGAAGGCCGACAAGTACCTAAGCACCGAACCATCTTGCAGGAACCACGAGTGCAGTCCATGTTTCCTCAACAAATGAGACGGCAACGAATGCTGTGAACCATATGATGCCATCAATGATGGTATGACATCATGCTCAGAAATGATTCTACACTTCAAAACCTCATCAGGGGAACTCGGCGGCGATCTCGGTGCAAGTGCTCGTGGCAGTAATGCAAAATCACTTCCAACTAGCAAAGCATCAGCGGTAGGAATCAACTGTTCCATCTCCCAATCAAGCACCTGATCATTATACGCCCGAGATGAAGCTAAAGTGCTTTTGGCGCCACATCCTGGAATGGATTGAGGGAACTTCGCGTTGTTGAGGAACTCCACCAAGGCAAAATCAATTTGCACATGAGCTGGCAGGATAGTAGCTAGCCACCTTTTACGTCTGACTGGTAGCACAGGAAAGACTTCATCGATGCTCTGGTTGGCAATCTTGTATCCACACTGTCGTACCAGCAATTGTATGTCCTTGTAATCTTCGTGAGCTTGAATGCCAACAACATTTTCCAGAGTTAAGGATTTTGCTTGTTGCTTGCACGCTTTACGAATGCATGTTTCCATGAGCTGTCCGTTGTGATCATCAAGGCCCAACCGAAGGCCTGAACTGCTCCAGCTCTGGCAAGGAGGCGATGCGAAGAAGTGGGACACTTTCAGCCAAGAAATTATGGCCCACACTTTCGAGTCCTCAATGTCACCATGGATGATGACTTTCTTTGGCATCTCATTAGCTTTGATCTTGTCAATCATTTGGCATGGACTAAGCACTGGCAGCAATGACGATCTGGAGTGGCACAGGGCAGTGTCCCAGTCTTTCTCGACAAAGACTGAGGCTTCCAAACCAAACTCAGCAAGTGCACGATTCCATCCAGCAAGTCCGACCAGTAGCAGTGGATGATGATGGTTACTAAAGGCCTCTCTCTAAAATAGTGATGATTGTTTACTGTCTGTTAATTGCAGGTAATAGGACAACCCCAAACAGCACATGTCATTTCTTGTTCTTCCTTCTGCACATGATCCCCCCCAGCTGCTATGTCTCTGCTTCCACAAAAGAAACACACCAACACGTCAAACAACGCACAACTTCTCGTTCTCCGGATACCCCTCGGAGCTCCCAACGCAACGCATCCGCCTCGGCGGCAACGCATCGGCTCGGCGGCCCGGGTCCTGGTCTCGGCCAGCTTGGAGGATCGCCTCGAGATGGGCCTCACTGAGCTCTTCATCCCGAAGCCACCCTGCACGGCTGCGGCTGCATGGCTTGCGGTTGCGACCCGAGGAAAGCGGGGCGCCGGAGGCCCCTGGGGTTTTCCAAGAAACAAGATGAAACAGCCAAGTACCCAGCCAAGAAAAGCACACGGTAGACCTATAGAGAGCTCCTGGTTGACATTGGGTGTACTGGGTCTTTGATGTACCTCTACAATATTCGATAACGAACAACTCCAGTGCATCGTGCATGCTGCATGCTGCTTCGAGAGGGAAGAACCTGGATCCAAGACGAGCGAACCGATGTTTCCTCACACTTAGCAGCGCTTCCAAAAAGCAATTGAAACACATTGAAACAACACAAAACAAACACAACATCTTTCAACCAAAGTGGCTGGTGAGTTGGACAACTCGCCCACCAACCCACCACCACGTCCGACCGTTTGCTGACGGATCGCCAAGCACCGCACCGCACCGGGCCACTTCGCCATTGGGGACCGGTACTCAGGGGTCATGGTACTTACACTTCCATCCCTTAGGCCATCGGTCTTTAGGCAACCTATTTGTAACTCTGGGAAACAGAAACTAACAGAAGTCCCAACCTTTGTAATGCAACAAAGGATGACCGCCTTGTCACCCAACCGTTTTTGGGGCTTGTGACATCTTGTAACCTGCTTGTCCAGTGGTCATGGGAAGTCCTGGGAAAGATCATGCATTTGCTTGACTGGTCCCGAACGTACGTCGATCTATCGCCTTGAAGCTCCTCTTCCAACTTCGCAGCAAACTCCTGGCAATGAGCGCAGCACCACGTGGCACCTTGTACTTTGTACGTACTCAAATAGCGCTGCACAAACATGGAGCTCGAGAAAAGGTCCCAAGAAAGCATCATATGATGCTGGACCTTGAAACATGACTGCAAGTGGAGCACAATCCTTGGGATAGCCACTTAATGAAGTATATTTCATGTGTATATTCTTACTGTATAATGTTTATACAATTTTATATACACAAAACATGTCTGAGTGGGATTGCTCTTATTTCTGAAGTGCAACCTTGAGTCTGATCCATCTTCAAAACTCTATGCAAACGTCCAATGCAAGAACAATCGGGCCCATCATCCTTGTGAAGAGCAGTATAGTGCAAAGAATGCTCTTCCTCGCGACAAGGTCAGGCTGAGGTGCAATTCTGTTGACCGGAAACATGGGTCATGGGCCTTGCTTGGCCTTGCTGAAAAGCAGTGATGTAAACCACCAGGTGCAAGCAAAATAGCAAATCAGCAAACACATCGAAAGCGAACAAAGGCTTCTGATATCATTTGAGCTTGCATTCTTGCCAAAGACTTCTGCTAATGCCAATGTTTCGGAAGTTCAGTGGGTTGTACTCGCCAAAGCACCTGGTAATCGTCAAAGTAGCCGCTGTTCTCCCTGAAAAAGTTCTCCAGGTAGCTGCCAAAGCCCTGGCAAGTGACAAGTGAGCCACTTCCTCGACCCAAACATGGGCCTTCTAAAAGAACGATTGCTGTGCCGAAAGCACAGCATCCACTCCTAGGAAAATGCACATCATTATTCTGGAGTCACTTTGACTGTTGCAAAAGCAACATTCTACAATTCGTGAGGAAGTTTGGTCAAGGCTCAAAACACCATATTCTCCACAATTGGAAAAGACCACAGACTCCAATGGTGAACGCTCACTGATATTGAAACGGCCTAGGCTCACCTTCAATATGTTAGCTTGACAGGTCCAAGGTAGATCCGGAAAAATTCGACCGTGTTCCGCAATCGTTCCGCTGCCGAAGAAAAACTGAGAGCCAAGTTCTGATCATTGAAAGACCGCCTCGTCAGAGAGCAGCCAAGTTCTGAGCCGTTGGGCTAATGATCTCAACCTCTCATCCTGCGGTGCCATCTGGCGGCGCCGTGCTACAGGGGTCGAAACTGGCAGCGCCGACTGGCTCAAAAGGTTGTTAGAAAAGTAGAGGTTGATGGCCTGATCTCCCAGAATCTGTTGTTAGACGTGGATGCCGTCAACTGAAACCACTTACAACATCTTACAACAACATCAAGGACGATCTTGAATTGATCCAGTGTGGACTACTTATTAGGGTTCTTCGGATGTGGCGGCGATGCATGCTTGTGGTGCATTCACGAGCAAGAAGCAGCAATAGTAGATAAAGCACCAAAACTAGAATTAGGGCGGCGGTTGTGGTCTCTTCCTCCTCTTCTGTTTCTTCGTTTTCCTCCTTGTTGGAGGTGGGTGTCAGGATCAAAGTGTCTAGCGTGCTCATGTCATCATCCACCGCCTTGAGGATTATATAACAAAACACTCAAATCCCGATGATTCTTTTGGGGCCGGTGGATATACAGTACCTGTCTCACGTAGGGTCCTCGTAGTCCGCCATGGCCAACGGTCGGTTTACATAGTCTCTGACGCTGGGCTGGTGGCTGACAAGAAGTCAGTCAGTTTGCTTGCTGTGATAAACTTACATAGACTTGCTGTGCACATGGCAGGAAAGAATCAGATTCACCGTGATTCACCCACATTCCTATACTATATATGTTCATTTCAAGGAAGAATCAGGAATGAGGCTTCTTATGTAGACTTCACCAATGGGACCTCTCGAGTACAGGGCCAAATGTGCTTTTTTGCAATGTTTTGCACTTATATAGTTTTTGCACATCCTGATGGATCCTTTTGTGATTAAGCACTCCATGTGCCGAGCACCCGATCGAGTCTTGATGGGCCTTGAGCCATGTCGGCAGGCGATGGATCTATGAGCCGATAAAAAGCCAGCAAACGCAAATCAATGTTCACATGAGGAAAAGGCGGTGCCTCCCTTTATAAGAGGTCATGAACTGCCAATTGGATCACCTGTGAATTCAACGTGATATACTGTAAAACCAATTTTGTTTCATCTCAAGCTCTTGCCATTTGAGATCGCAATCTTCGTCCTAATCCGCGGCATATGCCGCCAGGTCCAACCCCCCTTCGTGAACTGGAGACCGGACCGGATGCGACTGGAGACCGAGGCGCCTGTGGAGGCGTGACTTCAGTGAAGTGAGTTGGAGTGACTTGGCATCATGGGATGCTTGAAGACTACTCTGATATCCAAGAGATGGAACATCTCCAGCTGTTGACAAAGGCTGTTCTTCTGGGAAGGTTCGGAAACATCATTAGATGTTCCGGAAGATCTAGAACATCTATCGCCTGCAAATCTCCAGCAAATCCAACGTAAGACGCAATGCGCAAATTGTGGTAGTTCCAATGGGTGCTTAGGCATTCTTAACAAGAAGACCAGCATCAAGGCTCAACAGTCCGAATATCTTGAGCCACTTAACTCTGTGATTGGCCTTTTGTTCGTCCCCACTGTGCCTATCCTGACCCCAAAGACAACATGCACTGCTGAAACAGCTATGCGATCTGTGATGGAGAAACGCTCCGAAGCTTTGAATGGAAAAGCAACGTCATCCAAATCCCATACATGTTTTGGGGACTTCCTCTTTTGCAGTATCCGGGCGGTCACTCAACAACCCACGAGAGCCATGGTCTAAATTCCCAGCTCCTGTGAACTCTGTGCCGCTCCCCCGTTTCGGTCATCCCTTCGTAACCCAAACCCCACCAGCTGGCCCAATCGGCCTGCTCAAGTTGTCGAAGCCTGGCATTTTACCGTTGGAACTCGCGTGTGGTTGGGGTTCCTCTTTCTGTCTCAGTCCTGAGGTTGAGGTGACATGATACGGTGATGATATGGTGGTTGAGGGTTGAGGGTTGAGTTGATCGAAATAAAACTTGAAAAAAACAAACGACAACAATCAAATCGGTTTAGGTTTGGGCTCTCCAAGCACATCAGTTTCCTGTGGATGATCATGTTCTGCTGAAACGACGGACAAAACCGGTCTTTGGACACCAACAAAAGGTTCTTGGCAAGCAAGGAGGCCCTTGGGATGCTCTTTGGATGGGGGCATCAAATTCAAAAAAAACGTACACGGACATTTGTCATACGTACATAGTTGGGGGCCGCCCTGCCAAGTAAACCCCCTTTCCAAGACCATACCCTCTGCTGTCCATGGCTTTTCGACCTCACTTTCCACATCCTGCCACCCTCTGACCCAGCTTACCCATGCTGGAATCATGACAGGCTTACTGATCTCGGAGTTGCTCCAATTCGTTCTTCAGCTTCCCCTGTCACGTGAGTGCGGCAGGATGACTGCTTGGTGTCTTGATGAAAGACTCTACAACTATATATATTATAACTATGAACAGTGAATCCCAAAGTAGGCAACCCACTACTGTAAAACGAGGATGCAAAAGGCATAGCTGTGTTTGTACACCAAAAAAAGAAATAGCCAGAATTGGACAAGAACCCGAAGCCAACGCGACACAAACAGTACACAGTGACAGTATCATTCTATAAATTCAACTCTAAACGTGCCAGGAGTTCATTTTCCTGAGACAATCTCGTTGCTTCTCTGCAGATTTCGGCATGAGCTACCCTCAGCAGAACGCGCAAAACGCTCGAAACTGTAAAGTACGCACTTGTTTTTCTTCTGGCAAAAGGAACGCCCTACCAGGCAGCCAAACATGACATGGCCGAACATATATATAACTGGCAAGCTTTTGTGATGATATCTCTCAGTTCACCCAACGTTTGCACAGCACTTCCCGCCAACGAAGATCAAAGTGGACACCCCCTGCTTGGTAGTCGGAACATGGTCTTTCCACGGTGCACTTCCATCCACTTCCATGTTCGTAGGAGGCAGGAGGGTATTTTGATGCCGATCACCTTGGACAGGTCAGAATGTTTGAAGAGCCTTCACGCACGACGACAGCGATTGTCTCTGTTCGGAGCCCCTGCTCCTTCTCATGCAGCTCGTCCTGCAGCTCGTGGTTTTGCCTTGAGGATCTGGGCGAGCAACGAGAGATCTACAGTGTCTCTGACATCGAATCCAAATCGGACAACATTTAGAACCTCACTGTATCTAGAACATGCTGGAACTGAGAAAACAAAACTCTTTACAGAAATCACATTAAGATTGAAAAGAGATGAAAAGAGTCTATAGAGTCTATACCTCTTCCTTCTGAGCTTTCATTTCATCAACACTCAACACCTGGATTCCCTTTTGATGTCCAAAACAACTGTCACAGGACTCTGTAGTCTAATGCTCCATTGCAGTTCTCGGTGCGAAAAGCTTGCAAGTTGCTGGTGCAACACCTCACCAGCTGACCTTGAGTCCCAATAATTTGTTCTTGACTGGGAGGAGTTGCTCTAGCTTGGAGAAGTACTGTCCCCAAACAAGTCTTTGCAGACCACAGGCAGGTGGAAGAACATCATTTTTGGTGAGTGGGAACCCTTAGGAGTTGAGAGAGATTTCACTGGCCACCCACAAGTTGTACACAAAAAGGAGTAACACAGGTTCCAACAGTCAAAATGATTTGCTTGTTATACTCTGACGCATGGGGGTACTGGGTACACACATCAAAGCAAAATCAACGTTCGCAAATAAAATACAACCAAGCCTGAGTTGATATGAGAACCAGGCACTTGTCAAATATCCACAATAACTCAAGTGAATTACGACTCACACGGTCTTGGAACCATCCTTGATATGCTTAATTGATTTTTTTTGTGTCTCCTCCCTTCAAGTCCATTCCCAGCCTTTGCAACGCTTGCACCTCCGCATCCTGCGCAGCACTGCGTCGCGTCCGCCAGCGTCCGATCGGGGGGTCGTGACTGAAAGTCCGATGGCCATTGAGACATTGAAGTGATACTCGGGAATCCATGGTTTTGTTCACATTTGACTCGAAAAGCTTCCAACAAAAATGCTGCTGCATGGAACTGACTCAATGCTCCATCTTGTACTTGCATGTCGCCTTTGCTCTCAGCAGCAGTCTTGATGAGATGCATTTTTGTGTAGACTGGAGTTGCTTCCAGCTCTCAGGCACAAAGCCACCGATAAAGCCATTAAATGTCAAACATGTATGGAGCAATCCAACGTGCCAGTACGACCCTTGTTAATGGGGTGAGAGATTTGGCGTTATATTCTATCGTATCTATCTGAGAATGACGGCAAACTCAGGCCTAAAACCACAGCACTGGGTACCAAGCCTTTTCATGCTTCCGTTCACTGCCCAGCATGTCATGAATCACCCGCCCTGGCGCTCACGCCTTCTGCCGCATCTGTTGGAGCATCTCCTGAGTAGTCACAAATCTGAAGAGGCTCGTCTGGTGTTCAGCGCCCTGCGAAGTGTCCGGGGTCCCTTTAAAGGTTCAGTGTCCGGTTAATCGACCGGGTGGCCAGGCATGGCCGCGGCCATACCAAGTCTTTGAGTAGAAAGAGTGTGAGTCAGAGGAAGGAGATGACCAAAAATGCAAAAAAGAATACCGTTACCTCAAAGCACCTCTTTTTTGCCTGCTTTCATGACCAGCAAGGCTGTTAGCATAGCAGCATGCAACTCTTACAGAACTGTTGAGCAGGACACTATGCAAGGACCATGTATTTGGGTTCTTGGATGTCGTTCCTGAAAAAGTAAAACACAAACCCGTTGACCCGTTGACATGTTTCTGGGTTCCTTCTCGTTCTGAACAAATTGACTCTGCAACTTCACTCTTCTCCATTCTTATAGGATCCAAATAAGCTGCAACTGTACTTCACAAGCACTATATGGTCAAACATCAACAATTAAAGCCTCACACTTTCCAGCTGAAAGCTCCCAAGTTGTGAACTCACCCTCTTGAAACTACATCCATTATGTCAATGTAAGAATACAAAACAATCACGTAAAACTGGATGAAAAGATACAAACCCCAGTTCCCAAGTGTGTCTCCAGCTACATTGCAACCCTCCTTTCCCTTCCGCCAGGCCACTGGGTCGGCTTCCTTCTTTTCGGCCTAGGCCCCAAAAAGGATCGCGTGGGACCGCGGGACGGAGCGAGCGATACCGAGCGCTTTGGGTCTGTTGTTTTGGGAATTCACCTGGATGGCACGCCAGGTACGCTGATTTTTAAGATGATCTTTACCCTAGTGCAAATAGTCTACAAATGTCTACAGTATCAGTTTCTAGATTGTGTTTTGTGGAAGGTGACATCTTGTCGAAGGATTGAGCGGATTTGGACCGGTGCAATTAAGAAGGTTAAAGTGGAAGAGTGAAACACGGGAAATCGTGTTTTCAAGAATGATTTGACCAGAAATGCTGAAGAAAACATGTTTATGTGTGACACTCTGTGTGTGTATGTGGAGGTTGGACATTGTTTTGACACCTGAATGTGCAAAAGCACCGTACCAAGCCACACAAAATACATTGAACTTGCTTTGGTGTGCGCGTGCAAGGAGACATCCTACAACCGCATCAATGACGGACGCAACGGTTGCAGGATTTGCCATTGGTTTCCAGATTCCGCATGCCACATGTGCATACCATGGGTCCCAGCAAAATGCAGCCTTTAAAACCTGACAGTAACTTATTGGTGAGGTCATTACGGTAGTTACATGTGTGTCTCCAACCGTTCGTGAAGTTGCACCACAAATACATTTCAACACGCCTTTCATTTCCATATTATTCTTTGGGGGGTGCCTTCTCTCGATGGAGATTGGGGTTTACCACCAACATGCCACAAAGAAACATGGCTGGTCATCAAATGTGAAACACGACTGCGGACGTGTTGTATCTCCGTCAAATTGTGTGGCTAAATCATCTGTCAGGGCAAAATGTTCAGGTGGTTTACCAAATACCTCAAATGTAGAAACATTTACGTGTTGTCTGGATTGAAATACACAAAACATGCAGCTCCATCTTCCCATACGGCTGCCTTTGCTTCCCTCTCACAACAAGATGCCTCTGCAGGTTGTTGTCCAAGCCGCACGCTGCAGCTACCTCAGCAGCCCATTGTGCCACCCAGCCGATTCCTCCCAAATCACGCAGCCAAAGCCCCTCAAAAACCATTGTGTTTGCAACTTCTCTTGCATCAAGCTGGTTTTCAGCCACAACCTGGGGTAGCAGGGCTACAAGGAAGTCTGAAGTCTTGATACATCATGTGTCACATTTATATGTCGTCATGAGTGTCTTGTGCACCCCAATACTAGTAATTAGTGCCTATCAGTCTATAATGGAGCACTCGTCTTCATGAATAGTTGCTCGTCCCCACTTGGTTACTTTGCTCTATGGGTACTTCGCTCCCATTCTTTGTTTTCAGCTTACTTACGCGCTTTATCAAGTGATTTCCACCATTACAGTATGTTTGTATCTCTTTCAATGGAGGAGTAGCCAATGAATAGCGGCTATGCAATTGATCCATCATATAGATAATGAAAATAAATAAAGCACACTTCACAAACAACATGTAATTAGTGTTAACTATACAATTATATAGGATTGCTATAATTATGGAAGAACTATAGAAAAGGAGGAAAACACACACTTAATTGCTATGTCCAAACTTGGAACACAAACTATATACAGTAACAGAAGCAACACCAAAGCACCAAACATCACAAGGGGGGAAGGGCAAAATTGCTGCCCCCTCCACTCAAGGTATCCAAGATGTGGGTCATGACATGTTTGGTTTACGGGTCCTCACATGCGTGTTCTTTATCTTTCTACTGCTTTTCTTTGTGGGTGTGTGGGTCCTTGTTTTGTTTGAACAATCTTGTCTTCTTGGATCATGACATGTTGTCATGTTTCTTTTGTCTTTGGAATTTGTGATTATTTTTGTCTTCTTTTGTCTTTGACTTTTGCAAGCATTTTGCAGCAGGCAATCTCAAAGCCATGGACCAAGAGCAGGTCTGAAACGCTTAACAAAATGCCCTCTCAGGATGTCCCTCTTCCATCCTTGCTCTCCCTACTCTTCATGCAACATCATGCACTACTCAATGGAATGGACCTGAGATGGTCAAAATTGCCTCGTTAAACCAAAAGACCACCGGCTGGGGCTTCCGGACTCCCACTCTTCAGATCCATGGCCTGTCGAGAGCGTTCGTCACCGGCATCTCGCCGTGCCACCGCCCAGCGAAGCCGGGTAGGAGACACCGGGTCGTTTGATGCCGTGGTGTCAGAAGCCGATGTCGGGGGAAAAGGAATGATGGAAAGGATTGGGGTGATTAGACCGTGAAGGTGCATCCGATCCTGGCACTTCTATTTTGTACCCACCCAAGCACCTCGGTCTTCCCTCGACCAGCCAGCCTCCAATCTGCGGTGGCACTTGCTGTACTGGTCGTAGAGTGCTAGGAGGCCCTAGCAAAAGCAAACATGGAGTCACCAACGGACGGCGACAGCTGGGAAAATGGAATGGTATGTGACTATTGAAAGACACCTGCTTTGGCAACTACGACAGCAACATGACTGACCAACAAGAGCAAGACTCTAGACTCTAGAATAGTAACCATTCTACCACCACTCTGGTAGAAAGTCACTCACCAAACAAGCAAATTTCAGGCGGCCTCAGCCAAATGAACTACAATAAAAGGGTCAGGGTGTAAGATGGTGTAAGCACGTGTCAATTCCCCGCACCCCAACCTGAACCCCCAACTACCTAATGGATGCTGCTAGTGTCGGGAAGCAGTACCTCCAAACATTATCCAAAGATTAAAAAATATATAGTTAAGACGACCGTTATATATATATATACAACTATTACTAATTACCATCAACTACCCACATCAACCCACCCACCAAACACGGCGTTGTTAACTCATTGACAACCCGTCAGCATCGGCAAAACAGAAGTAGCAAACGTTGACCTCCCACGCCTGATACGGCTCATCACGGCGTTTGGCCTGCTCCAAGAGGTCAATGCCTCGGTGCTTCTCAAGCCAAGGCAGGACACACACACACACATCTTGTGAAACAAGAGCTTTGAAAACTGTTACCGGCGACCCCCATGAGGTGTGTATAACTCCCGCCTTAGCGCTTAAGGAGTGTTTTTTGGCCACCCCTTGTGGGTCCTGGTGTGTAGTTCAACATCATTGTCATCGGCCGTGTGAGGAGAAGCTCGGACGAAGAAGGGTCAAGTTTCCTCCAACTCAGGAGCACACTGAAAAAGAAACCCTGGCAATTGGCATTTCTTGTCTATCTCATACTTGGGAGAGCCTAACAAACAACTAGGTGCCAACCAAATCCAGGGTCTGACTCACGTCCAAGTCTGAAGAGACGCATTGTTTAAATTTTACAATAGTTCACCCTCAGATACATTATATATCACAAACAAATACAAACAACATACCACCTGGTCGCCCAACACTCTGAAATCCACCTGGTTGTGCTCCCACAGACGCTCCGCCACCGCTATTCTGAGATTCCTGGCGCCAGCGACTAGTGCTGCTGGCGCTGTCTGAGCCTCCTGGCAAGTGTGAGTCTCCAAACCCAAAGACCTGGACCTGGAACTTTTGAAAGGTAGAGCGGATGTTGTGGTATCTCAACTTAAGCATCTGAGTTAGACACCCCTGTTCTTCCGATCTGGCCAATTACAGATCCCCTACGTCCCCTAGCCACACAAGGTGTGTCGTGGAAGCCAAGTCAGTCCCTTCTGGCACAGAATGCGAGGCATAGCAAACTTTCCTCTTTAAAGCTAGCACATCACATAAACTGAAGTGGCAGCCGGAAAATGCCGGAATAACAAATCAGCTAAAGCACCGCTCATCGTGACCATGGTGCTTTATCAGTGTGGGGGGGTAGTTCTTCCGGTCAAGCTCAGTGCTACTCTCCCAGCAGCTCCGGGCGCAGAACCTGGACTTCTGACACTTCGTGGGGGATCAGGTTCCACCTGCTCCTGCGGAAATGCACGATCGTGTATCTGACAGGCCAAAGTCTGGAAGGAAACCCATCAGGCCTGGTGTCAGGCCTCCTGCGTCCCTTGTTATGTTTCTTTGGCCTGTGGTCTATCGCATTCATGTTTGGAAAACCCTTGACCATCCTTGACCCAACATGGATTGCTTTCCAGCAAGGCATCATGGAATAGACCCGCGTTCCTGCTAATGCTTTGAGGAGCGCCTGACTTCCGTGTGTGAATGATGGGTCTTCTCAAGCCTCCAACGTGTCATCAAGAACCGTGTCTCAGGCGTGGCTTGGTGTAACCTGTCGTGGCTCTCTCCTATTCAAGTGTTGCTTGTTCTCTCGTTTGCTTTGTTTTACCATGTTGTGTGTGTGTTTTGCTTTTAGTAACAACCAGCTCCCAGCAGTCCTCAACAGCTTCAGGAGACTTGACGATGTTCTCAACTTCAGCTTCACGAGCTTCGTCAGATTCGCCCTGCTCACTGGGCTCCACCTGGACTGACAGAGACTGGGCTCCACCATCAGTGTTGAGAACTGGAACTATCTGTGGAGTAAAGCCCCAATTGCTGGCATTTTCTAGACCAATCAGATCAATCGGTCAAAGCTTCACAAGGCTTCACTCATGTTCTATCTCCAAGAGGGCAATCTCCAAACACCATGGTTTCCCAGGTCACATTGAAACAAACTGGACGCTTACAGGATTCTTCCAACGAATCACAGTCTGTAGACCTAGTAGACCCCCAGACTCAACACTTCGGCTGCAGAACAGCTGCAGCCCTGATTTCTGAAGCCACTATCATCTGCCACCTGCACGACCTCCCTCTGGACCCACTCCGCTTTCGCCTCCTCGGTCTCTCCGGTGTCCTCCATGAAATCATCGCCACCGCTCCACCGAAGCGATGGCGAACACGCGGAATTCGGACGCAGGGCGCGCGCGCTTTCGCACGGACGAGGCAAAGTGTAGATCTGCCGAGGACCGCCGTGCTGCACTGGTGGGGGTCGGTGGGGTCGAGGGTGTGGGAACTTCGGTTGGGCTGGGTTCCGTAGGGCTGACGTGAGCTGAAACAAGCTGAAGTGAGCTATTTAAACGAAAGGAGTCCACCAACATTCCACCAACTGGAAAAAACAAAGGGGCAGTGAGTTGCGGCAAGAGTTTGCACATTGGATTAATATTTACTGTGTACGATGCGTTGACTTCATGTTCTGCATGTTGATGCTCCCTATTTCCTGGCTCCTGCATTGTCTTGACAACACATAGCAATTGACAGCTATAGTCAATTAGAGAGGTCAGATCAGGGTAACGTTCAGATTTAACATGTACCAACAGGTTACTACTGATCCGCCAGTGATGAAAAAGCAAACGTAAACACAGAGTTTTCGTCGATGATGCACTTCTTCAAAAATGTCTGCTGTCACCTTGCTCCCTTGCAATTCTCTACTGAGGTCGTCTCATATGCTACTGAGCCGAAAAAGGCTGACAGTCTGAAACATTGCCATCAGGCTTCCAAATGCTGACCAAAGGGCCCTTCAGTGGTGTCTGTCTTCTACACATTGGCCATGCTGCCGGGTGCCTGTTATTGAGTCAAGGACCAAAAAATCCAAACCCAGTCAGGACATATGGAACCACCTTTCTCTTAAACTTGGACCCAAACATTAGGTTCCAAGATCATGTTCCTCTACAAAGCCATTCCTTTTGGGATCCATGTTCAGCATGCCCATCCTCCACCGTCGCCATGTATTTCGTCTCTTTCTTCCATCCACGACTATGGCGGTTGGGTCCGCTTCATTGGGACTTGGCCGCCTTGACCTTGGCCACTTTGGCTGCCTTGGCGGAGGAGCTGGTCTCTGCCTTGGTGCAAAGCCACGGGGACATGGGAGCTGAGGATGCAGGAGCATCCGAGGCTGCAGGACCATGCTATGAAGCAACAACACTGCGTTTGCCAAGCCACATCAAGTCCCTCGAATTCTTCCCACCCACTGTTGACAGTAGCTTTCCCCATTCAGGTCACACATGTCTTCACGCTGCCCAAGTGTTGCACAAACACTTGGCTTTGCCAATTTACCAATTACTGTATAATATAAATAAACTAAATGTGATAGCCAAACACAAACACATGCAGTAGGTATACTAAAGTAATCTACGGAATCTACGGTATAGGACAAAGGACAAAACCAAAAATACAGAAACAGAACGTGTTGAGCTACCTGTCTCCACCTACTCTGATTCATCCGAGTCGCATCATCTGCAGGTGCATCCGTGGGGAGGGTGCAAGTGACAACTGCCACACCGTGGAAGAAGGCGTCTTCATAGGCACAATCATCCACCTGCCAAGGCAGTTTGAGTTTTCTTTTTTTCCTGCTCTTGCTGCACAAATGTTTCGGGGCCCCATCCTGCAAAGGAGTACACGGCCTATAGAGTGAATAAGAAAGTGTTAGAAGTTGGAAAGAACATCGTCAAATCCAAGGGTTACAGTGGTTTCTTAGATGGCACAAGACCAGGACTGAAGATCTCCAATATATTGGCAACCTTGGGATTGTGCAATCTACCCTAAAACCGCTGTAAATGATCGAGGTTCATGTGAGTCTTTGGAAAGTTATGATGACACCGGTGGTTGGAGCTCACGGTGTGTCGCACCGTTTTTACACAATGTTTAAAGCTTTCAACAACTTGCATTAATTGCTCTTGATCCGAACATGTGCTGCTCCGATGTTGCATACATCTCCACATCGTGGGCACAGCATCTCATCTACCAGTACAATCCAATATATAAACACATGGAATGCTTTTGCAAAGACCGCCGGACCCCCATTCCCGCAGCAGAATCGCTTCGCCGCGGTCGATTGACAGCTGTCGCACCTGCTCGGAGATCTTGCTGTCGATGATCAGCTGTCCCAACTGAGCCGCTTGGTCTTGACGGCCCACGAACGACCCGAGTTGCGAACCCAAATGTGGGCCTGGCATGGCCTGGCCTGCCTGGTTTGCTTTGGATTGGAACACGAGGACTTCCTCCAAGAGGGTGGTTGGTCAATGTCTATGAGACTATGACTACAACAAATTAATGTTTGTTTTGGGAGATATCAAAACACATTGTTCATCATTGTTCAGTTTCCCTACCTACCATCTGGAGAGCTGGAGCCCTGGAGTCCAAAACATTTCCATGTCATAGGTCATGGACTGGTTGGTGAAGCATTCAGTCAGTTCGAGGCGCTGACTAAGCAGGGGTGTCTGCATCCAATGGGTCTCCTATACTGGGGGTGCTAGTGATAGTGACCACCTCATGTCGACCAGATTCGACCAGAACAAACTTACGCTGTTGATCTTTCTCCCAAACCTGGAAAAACATATTTATGTATGATTTGTGTGTATGCAAACATATATACATATATAATGCAGTGCCGCTCCTCTAGGCCCTAGACTCATGTTTTGTCGAGCCAACCGGTGTGTGAGTTGGTGCAGACAAGTCGTCATCCTTCTCATCAAAGTTGAAGTTTCAGCGCTCACACACTTGAATTATGCCAAAAACAGAGAGAGAGAGTGAGAGGGGAGTAAAATGCAGAAACGAGTGCATGTGAAGTTGCACATGCTTGAACTACAGCTGATTCAAAACTTGTTTGCATTGATTCCCTGTTGAATTTCAACCTGTGCTGAGCTGTCCTGGGTCCCTGGACTGGTTGACTCCACAGCTGCGCAGTGACGTTTTGGTTCGACACAATGGTCTTGACCTCAAGACTCTCTTGTTCCAAACTGGTTGATTGTGCACCACCATGATTCTTTCACTGGCATGTCTGTAGGGAATTCGACATGTTACCGAGATGAACAGCCATCAATCAATTATCTATAACAGCCAATCAATCATTCTACAAGTCTCTGTCCTGGCGAAACGGACTGATCTGGAGCAAATGCTACACTGATCTGCATCCGCCTCGCATGTCTGAGAGATCAGCCTTGTCCTTGTCTGGGATAGCAACACCGGTGCTGTACCTGTCAGTGCGATCACAAACGACACGCCACCTCTGCCTGCTGTCGGTAGCTATGGACAGAGTTTTCTCAAGTCTTCCCTGCAGCAGCAAGCGGACATCCCTTGTGTTTTTGTTCACCCTTGCCATTGACTTGAGTAAGTCTAGGGGAGTAAAACGTCACCCTGGTGGCAAATCTCTGTCAAAATTCGTTAAGATTCTGTGGATATTCCTCCCACTTTCAGACGCAAGTCAGATTGATTGGTTCTTGCTTCCTGAACTCTAAGGGCAACCCCAAAGGTCAGCGGGTCAGGGCATTTCTTTAAGAAAGCTCAAGCTGGGGTCATGGCAAAAGTTGTACTGTAATCCTTGGGCCCTTAGGGAATCGAACAGCTTATCACATGCCTAGAACCTGAGTGACCTCTGTTTTGGAGTTTTTACCAACCACTCAAAATACTTCCTTTTGCCATGCTATCAAGACATCACTCAAGTGGGTTCTACTATGTTCTGACCTCTCCAACGATCCAAAACAGTCGCTCCCACTGGGGAGGCCGGGCTCTTCAGTGCAAGGATTCCTGGCGCTTTGTGCAGCATTCCGTGGAAGTCTAGGACTGGTTTGCAAAGAAGTAAATGAAGAAAGAACAAGACATGATTGTATGTTGCATCCATTCATGATTCAATGTCGGACATTAGATACCAGTATATATGTATGCATATGTCATTAAAGGTCGCTGTTTTTTTTTCTGTTTACAACACTAATTATTTATAAAATATAACACATGATGTGACACCAGCCACCGAATATGCTGCAACAATAACATATATAATTAATTGGATTGTTGTTGCACAAGTATCTGAGTCTATTCATTCTTGCATTGCACAACAAATACAGGTGTACACAGCCAACTTCCCCAACTTCCCTTGTTGGGGTCCGTGCCTGCCCGGTTTGATGTTCTTGCTCACATTCCCCAAGCCGGACACCGCGATGAACCTCTTCGCTCTACCGTTGTAACCGTACGTCGAACGAAGACTTGGGCAGCGGTAGGCTAGCACAACACGAGGCCATAGTAGGCCATATTCAAAACAAGTAGTACACTGGAAAGCTCACATCATCTGTGTCTGAGCTAGGAAGTTGAATTGGATCCTCTTTTGGTAGTGTGTTTGTCAATCGTCATTTAGCTATCCCAAGTCAGCCATGAAATGTGGAACTTCGCAGAACTGTGACGAACTGCAAATGACAGCGTACAGTACCCAAACAATCCAGGTATGTCATATGCGCAATATATTGTTGGTGATTTCAAAGTGATAGATTCAATCTGAGACACATGTCACGGCAAGTCTCTCCTGATCCCTTTGCCCGCCCTCTATTGGAACAAGCAGCTCTATTCGCTCGATATCGTTTCCCACAGCTTCATCGTAGTCAGTCTGCACCTCATCAAATAGCTACAGCCAGCACAACATCAAAAGAAAGGATCGACTAGAATGCACACCCCTGGGTATCATTTTTGGAGCCACATGCAAATAGACACAACATGGCAACGCTCTTGAATAGCTGCATCAATGCTTAATTTAAATCGTTTCTGGCTAGATCACGTAAAGAAATGCATTCTACACAGAATTTAGCCAACAGGATCCTGTACTGTTGGTTTTGATATGTTTTGATCATGGCATTCTGACTCTTGTTCTCATCAATTGCATTTGCTTCTGATCAGCTGTGCACCGAATAAGCTAACCCAATTATCAATAGGTCAATATATAAGTCCATTATCAATCTGGACGAGAAGTATATGACAGTATACAGTATACAATGCAATTGTGTTTGACCCTCTTAACTTCATAACGCGTACATCTCGTCAGTCCAACAACGTTGTAAGTCCTCCACGACTGAGAAGTTCAAAAGACACGTCCTTGGTCCAAGCTTGACGCGTTCTGGCCGAAACATGCGAGAACTGGGTCTGCCAGGCTCAGGCGGGACATGAAAAAGCTGTAGGACTGCCGCGAAAATGGGTCATTTCAAGTTGATAGACATGCGCTCATCTGCATTTGGTGGTGTGCAAATTCACAATTGAATGGTGATCATCTGGAAACGACCTTTGGGAATGGTGTCGGTCCATCTGTTTCTAGCAACTCTTGTTTGTGCGTCATGTCTCGCTCGCACTGGCTCGAGATTGAAAGGAAGGTCATTGCACCCCACTGGTGAACGTGGCTTTTCTGATTAAAGTTTAAAGACCCAATCAACTCCCTTATAATTGATTTGAACAAACATGAACAGTGAGAACGGGGATGGGAACCTGGTCTTTCTTCATCTCACACTCCCACAATTACTGCGAACAACAAAACATGACAAGTGTTCCGGAATCTTCCCATTGCAGCTCTCATTGCTCTTCGATCTTCTCACATAAAACAATGACCCCAGGATCATCGAACTACTCAACTCCCCAACCACTCCACCGCTGCCTGCGATGCCTCGCGCGCCCTGGGCATCCCCCACGCACCGGCACGAAGGAGCACCGGGTCCACTTCAATGATTCCACGCGTGGCGCCTGCAGTTCTACTGAGACGCAGTTGGTAGACCAAAGAGGGGCAGGGCCGGGCAGGGGGAAGTGATTGTTCTCTTCTTGTTCTGAAACCTGGAATGACTGGATGTTGTTATGAACAAACTGACTAATTGACTGAACGACATGTTCATCCCCTACTTTGGATATAGTTTTCTCAAAACAAATTTGGGAGCTCGGTTGGTTTGCCGCATCTTCGATGTGACATGATGTGACATGTTTGTTTAGATCGACCTTGGGAGCTTTGAAACTTACCAGTCCTGATTCCTGCTGAGGTTGTAGGACTTCTCTTTCCAGCTTAGAGACTTGTGAACTCCTCAAATCTCATCTTGAGGTTTTGCAGGTTCCTCAGTTGTTCTTGTTCTTCGAACCGTCATGTAGCATAAAGGATTCAAACATCGTTGCCATGAATGTGTCTCCACGTGATATGTGCAGTTGTGTTCATTGGTAAACATAAACTGCTACCAGAAGTGAAAAGTCAAAAAAAAGTAACATCGAAGGAACTGACCCAGAGAAGATATACAATCTGGATGATTCATTGGAGCTTTAGCTGGGCCAACCAATCTTCATATGTTCATCATGTTCTACGGCTAATGGCTCCAAAGTAGGCTCCCAGTCGCCAACGTCATTCCCTCAGTCTGCTCTTTGGGCCGAGAGGCAGCCAGGAGCACCTGGCAAGCAAACCCAAAGAGAGATGAGTGGCTTCTGTTGTGACTAGTAGCTACTAGTAGCGTGGCACTTGTTACTACTAGCTTCTTGTTACTACTAGTAAGGCACTTGTTACTAGAAGCGATGCACTTGTTACTAGTAGCTTCCTACTAGATGGAACATGTCTCCACTTGGCTTCTGTTGTGACTTGGGATTTGATCTCGATGAATCTTGACAGTGGCACTTGTGTTCTTTTCCTGATGTTTCCGCGTTTCTGTTTGCTTCCTGATTTGAACAAGGACAAACAAGAGTGGCGGCAACCGTATGATTGTGGCTATCGTAAAGACGGGATAGCACACCTTCAACCTCTTTGGATTGGAATGTTCCACTGGTGTACAACTGCACATCATCGATCGCACAGGGGCGGGCGCCCAGCCGAAGGAGCGAAAGCTAGCAAAAAGCAATGCATCAGAAAGCATCAAACATCGTCAAACATATTCAGATTGAAAGTCAATTCTTAAGACCATTTAGGGGGTGGGGTCGTGGAAACATATTGTGTAGTACAGAATGACCCATTTCATAGGGGAAATGGTAACAGCTATCCCAGCATCCAACCGCCAGCGTTCTTTTTGCCAAAAACCGTCGCCGGCTGGGCAACACCGGAGCGTGCTGTCGACACTGAAGGACATCCCAGGGTCCAGCCTGCGCGAGAGAAAAAAGCATCGCTCAGTGAGTAAACCCACCACACGACACAAAGGGAGGCACACCATCGCTCTCATTCTAAGTGTGTTTTTCTAGGTCAGGGATGGCGATCCCATGTGATCCTCCCAGCACGGTCCATGGATTCTATATGATGATTCCATGGATCAGGTGGTTGCATGAGACAAATCTGGTGCTCTGCGTGAACTCGTTGTCTGCGCAACTCTCTGGAATCAATGTACAAACATGGATTATATGGAAAAATGTGACACCTCCGCCCTTCTATGGGAAGACTTGGACCAAATTCTGTGTAGAAACAGGCTGAGTTCAGAAGGCCAGAAACAGCTCTGAAATCAAAACCGATGCAGTGGTATACAAATTATATTTTATACATAGACATACTCTAGTATAGATTATGTGTACACCCGTTGTTGATGTTCTTCTAGTAGTATATAAGGTGAGTCTAATGAAATTGGCACCCCGCCACTCAACCCTTGAATGAGATTGTTCTACACCTGCCCAAGGTCTTGGCGAACCCAACCTCCCTCATGCTTTGTTTGCGCATCTGCCTCTGCTCCCCCTATGGTCTGCCTATCTCGCATCAGCATCTTCAGTTCTGTTGCATTCCTTAGCAAATCCAGCTTCTGCATGTTGGAGTCACAGAAAACGCATAAATCTTCATCCGAAGTTGTCCAACCCCTCAAGGCAACGCACAATATTCCTGGAACCAACTATATAATTGGCAAACTTCTAATATTCCTGCAGTCCATCAGTGCATCACATCTTCCTTCATTCCAAGCATCACTGCGCCCGGTGCACCAGACCTACTGCCCGGCACCAGTCCAGGTGCATAGCCCAGCGCGCTGTAGATGTAGCCGAAGGGTCCCAGCCGCCCGGTGAGTGCTCCGCCCCCACCGGTGCCCCCGGCGCCGGGTCCGCCCGGTCCGCCGGGTCCGGCGCCCAAGGTGGCGGCGCCGGCCGGGCCCTGGACGCGGGCGCCCAGGGCGGCGCCACCGAACTGGGCCTTGGAAGGTGAAACAGAAGAAATCAGGATATACTATATGTATATATATATATGCATATGTTTATATATGTATATATATAGTCTTATAATGTCTTACTACCTCTCGCACATCGGTCCAAGTCGATGTCATGCCGGACACTCTGGTCCGAACATGGGAGTTTCCCCAAAAGAGACATGCAATCACCACTCATGTACAGGGATCAGCCACGTCTCAAGGCGGCGATCCGCACCTACACAAAACAGCTGTGCAAGCATCGTGAGGCCTTTGGCCGACACATAAGGTGCTGCACCTTCGATGCATCCCTGAGGCAAGATGCGGCCACATGCTCGTGGCTTTGTCGAGTTGAAGCAACCTGGAAATGGCTGGGCCTTGTCAGACTTGTGAAGAAAAAGCAGGGCCTCTCTCAAGATCTTGTACAAATCACGAAACGTGAGGTCAGAAATGTCACCTGGCATACGATGACCTTCAGCGTGGAATGCAACTGCAATTTCGCAAAAGGAAATGGACTCTTCTCCAGAACACTTCCACTGCAAGCCACTCAGAAAGTTTACAACAATTTTCCAACCGTCATTGCCGTGCCGCCATGACTTCGGTGGTGCAATATCAGAAGGAATCTTTGGTTTCCATCGAAACTGCGTAATCGGTGTCGACCAGTGCCACTGTGGGTAGAGAGCTGCGGCTTGGAATTCTGTGAGCTTATCGGGAAGCTCAACGACACTGTCATCAGTTGTATCATCGTTTGTATCAGTCCTGGTTGGGAGCATGGCATGCAACATTGTCAACCACTGCTGATGCTTGTAAATTTCTTGTTTGGCCTGCCTATGAACTGCACCATCAACTGGAGAAAGACGATAAGCAAGATGTTTTGCAACTCTATCAGCAACCCGATTTAACAAGATATGCTGTCTTGTAGTCGCAAATTCCCTTGCCTTGTCCTCCGTGATCATGCAATCCGGTGTTTCTTCAAGAACATGGGCGGGGATCCAAATCACATGGAACGGCTTGGGATGACTCCTCCATCGTACTTCACACAACGCTTTAAACTTCCGCCACCAAGCCTGACACTGCCAGTGCACATCAATAGCACCATTATCCAAGAATGAGGCGACTTGTGAAACCGCAGATTGACAGTCGGAAAAGACTGTGGCAGGTGTTGTTGCACTGAAAAAGACTTGGAAGATAGCCCAAAGTTCGGTGATGTAAGACGACAGTGCCCAATGGTTGACCATTCCACATGACACTGTTCGACCTGCATCATCAATGATGGAAAAGGTTCCAACAGACAGCCAAAAATTGTCACCGTTGACAACTGAACCGTCAGTCCATCGCTGTATGTGACCTTCCGGGTTGAAGGATTCAGCAGGAATGAGGTCATCAGCTGATTGATGCAAGAACCTTCTGCGACCAATAAAATTGGGATGCTCAACATGGCCAAGCATTCTAAAGTTCTGTCCAAGCTGGTGTCCAATCGGTGCACCAATGTCACGGTGCAAAACATGGCAGTCACTTGTCAAATGATTCATGGATTCCTTAGCTGTTTGGCAAAATCTACAATCGGAAGATGTCGCCCACCCTGTTGCAGCCATGCGGTCATTAGTCAAGAAACAACCAACAACAACAGATTCAAATCGCACCTTCATTGGCAGTTCCCCCGGGGTCGTTACCGGAGATCGCGTACGAAACAAAGTGGAAAGCTGATGATCAAAAATACCCTGGGGTTTACAAAAGTCCTTCCGAGGCGTACTTATGGCACGAGCATAACATGCATGTCTACACACAGCTTGAAGGGCTCTCCTAGCATCTTGCGGTGACAAGTCAAGAATGCAAGTGGGTTTGGACCCTTGGAAAGACAAGCAAAGATTATGATCAACTTCCAACCCCAGTGTTTCACACGCCAGTCGAAGCCGGTTTGCCAGTGAATGTGGCAACTCATCGGCTTTCTTCATGGTCCGTTGAAGCTGCTGGAACAAAGCTGGTTGCAAATAACAAGACCGAATAGTTTCAAGAACAACTTGATAGGCACAAGCAAAGGTTGGTTCTGTACGATGCGGGGCCGACAAAACGGCCTGGACAAGCCATTTAGATCTCCATTTGGGTCTACCATACCACAAACAGCGAACAATGGCATTTTGTATCTGATCAAGTGCACGCTTGGGAATACGTGAGATGTGTGCACCAAATGTGAGTCTCGGGATGACTTTGGCTCCAATTAGGAAGGACTTAATTTTCTGAGGAACAGGTAACACGGCAATATTGTCAATATCACACAAAGCTTGTTTGAGTGACTTCTCAGAAAAACCAAAGGGTGACTTAGCGGATGTATAAATCCGCGTGCCCAAAACCTCAAATTCGGTGACGATGACAAAATCAGCAAACATGGCTTTGAGATGTTTCCGGCCATGTGCATTATTAGACCACAGTGAGGACTTGCCAGCATTGAGCTTTTGGCCTACTAATGCATCCCAGACACCTGTGAGCTGAACGGCTGTCTTGAGATGATGCAAGTCAATGATACGGCACCATAAGTATGCATCATCGATATAGGCACGAATAGCAATCCCAGGCAGGTTCTCGACCAGATGATACCAGGCCTTGTTGTATGCATTCATAGCTAAGATCGAAAAAGAACAACCCTGTGCTACTCCGTTAGCATGAGTCACAGCTACCGGTGAGGTCCAAGACCTGAAGGCCAAGTGCTTATGCATACCTTGATACATTCGAAGAAAGATGCTTACAACGTGAGTGGGGATCCCAAACGCGACAAGTAAACACGCCGCAAATTGAGGGATAATACGGTCAAATGCCTTAGACTTGTCAAGCTTGATGCCCACCACCGTATCCCCTTCAAGGTTTGCTGAATCCAGTTCAAGGCGCACTTCATTCGACAGGTTGGACATCGCACGATGTTTAACACCTCCAATGATGGCCGATGGAAAGGCTTGCTGTTGCCATTGCTGCAGTTGCGCATATCTTGCTCCCGTGTAAGCAAGAAGCAGGGGTGGTAAAACTGTGATTAACCGCTTATTTGTGGCAGACGCCGGTCCTGGCTTATTCAAGATAACTTGCTTTGCAAAAACTAAAGCTCTAGGGAGGGGGTCATCGGACTCCTCAAGAGATTTAAAGAACAAAGCAAGGGCTTGGAAGCAAGAGGGGTGCAAAGCCTGAAGCTCATGTGTCCTCCAACCATCTAAGCCTGGAGCAGCTTGCTTCTTTCTCTTTTGGATGACATGATACAACTCTTTTGGTGAAACAGGGGGGAGATGCACCTGAACTTGCTTATCATGTATGTACGGCCAGACAGTCTCAAGCATTTTGAGAGGATGTTCGGACAACACATTGGCTGCAAAAATATCATCCCAAACTTCATTCAAGGTCTGAATGGCCTCTTCAGGCTGTGTGACAATTTGATTACGGCAATTAGTGACCAAGTTTGGGGGTTCATCTTGGGCTTTTTGGCGGAGATGTTGAAAAATATAAGCACAACCATGTTCGGCGGACTGGTTGACCTTTCGTTTCCAACTTTGAATCCGCTTGAGACGAATGCGGCTGTCAATCGTCATGGCAAATGTTTCCGCCCAACGTCGCACCAGATGGAGTTCCACCAACGTTGGTTGGGTTGGGATAGCCCACACAATGGCTTTGCAGAACCGCTTGACTCCATGGTAGGCTTTCTTCGCGAGTCTCGCAGTATTGAAACCGTCTTGGGCCGATCCGACATCCCTCGAAAGCCTAACAAATAGCTCATCAAGCCTATTGATCAGTTTATACAAGTCAAGTGACACTCTTGTGGCAGCACATTTAGTGGAGAGCTGCTTTGGACAGACTTTCTTTTCAACAAAGATCGGGGGTTGTGCTCGAACTCTTGGTCCTGAACCCCACACACCTCCTTGTTCAAGAAGGGATTTGAGAAAGAACTCATTGACAATATCCCACTTATCATCATGATTAGGTGCATGTTCAAAGCGCGGAGCAAAGTGCTCATGCCACACGGGAGAGGGTTCCTCACTCCACTCCTCAGGGGTGACATTGGTGACATCTATGGGGGCGAATTTATGAAGGATGTAGCCAGTTTGATGAATGGACTCCCACTTGAACGTGACTTTAATGGGCCGGTGTTGGCGTCCAAAGTGTTCCATGACCTGGGCATCAACCATGGCGCAAAAAGCGACTTTATTCAAGAGAACCCCATCAATGGATGTGCAACCTTCATCAGACCCTGAGAAAGAGCAGTCCTTAGAATAGGTATACGGACGAACCATGTTCCCCCATTCATCAGTAGTGTAAAGTGGGTCAACCCATCCTTGAAAGTTAATTGCTCCAGCAAGTGATTCATACGAGCTTGGGGAGGCTTGGAAGTCGCCAGCGACCACCACAGGGATTTCCCCAAATTGGGCACTCACAACCAAAAGATCATCAAACAACTTATTATTTTCAGAGTGGACCTTCGAATCGCTTGAAGCACCAGTGCAAGCGTACACGCTGAAAATAAGGGCTTTAACTTTTGGTGTGACTTGAAACCAAGCAGCAGCAACACGTTTAGAGTTGAAAAGCCTTTGGAAAAGACCTGTTTGATCCTGCGAGGCCTCAAACGGAGTGATGAGGCAATCAGCACCAAGAATAGCAGTTCCCCCACATGGGGTTTTTGTAGTACCATTGGCATGCCATAATCCCGGGAGAAGCTGACCTAGAATAGGCTTCAAACCAACAGCTTCAATACTCTTGGTGGAAGTGCGGACATTATTTTTCCCAATACGTGTCTCTTGTAAACAAGTTATATCAGCACCCCACGATTTCCACAACTGATTTGTGTTGAGGGAGCCAACATTAGCGGAAACGAGGGTGCACAGGTCCGGTCCTTCTCCAGGAAACCCTTTGGTGTGATCGAAAGGACGATACACGTACGTCAAAGCAGCACAGGCCGCACTCATGGTGCAAACACATTTTGCAGCACCGGCAATGGTGCGAAGTGGGAAGGGCCCACTGGTCTTAGATGTGATCA